TATTAACCCCAGATGATTTTAATTTTTTTTAAATTTTGGTACGGAAGTTACCTTGCATCTAATGGCACGTTCTATTGCTCGATAAAAGCCCTATCTCCTTCATTATTATGCATTTTAAATCAATATATCAGATGTTCCTAATGAATTCCTAAAATCATGCTAAAGCCGTGTCCTTTTAACCTCTTCTCTATAAGCAATTCAATGGAATGGCGTTACGAGACTAATGTTTAGACAGATTGTTGAGTGACTATGCCATTATATATGTTTACATAATATTAATTTATGGCCTCAAGTCATAATGGATCGCCTCTAACTTGCAATATGCTTTTAAAATTTATGCTTGCACATTTGTATGAGCAACTTTCCATAAAGTGTAAATCCGTGAACAAATATTCACTCATCCTCTGGACATATCACAGTTGTGAAAGTCCAACGATATAGGTAAAAAATACATTTATCCTTGTTTTTTCTTGATAATGCCTATTACCTGATTAAGAACCATGCGAAAGAGTGCATACATCTGTTTGAAGTAGCTGTATGTTGGCGCCGACGTTTGTACGCCCTTATAACCAGGCTTATTTGTACCTGAGCCATGATGAGTAATTGGTTCTTTCCCCGATTGAGCGAATGGAACCTTAACGAATTTGTGGTTGCATGACAATATGACAGTATCGCTTCCTCCTAGGCGAACTTCGTCCGAATGAGGGCGGCGCCCTAGAAATTACATGTGGGACTGTGACCTCTCTTTTTCTGTTCAAACCGAGCAATGCATATTCACGTCGTCTCCACCGGACTGAAACTTATTCCCTTAAGACTGGCGACTGGTCGATTCTCGCATCTCATCTAAAGTCGGATTCATGTTAGGGGCGTATCCTTTGCCAGTCAACGCAGTAAGTTCTTCACTGTGTTTGGTTGGATGGGCAAACCAAAAAGAAGACCTTTCTCACATTTAATTACGCGGCAAGTCGGTGTTTTCTTTTCCCTCTTGTAATGCGCTAGAAGGCTCATTTACACTACTCATTTAGGCTCGAGGCTGGCTTTTCTATATTTATGATGTCATTCTCCTTTTAGCTGATACATTTGTGAAACAAAATTCTAGCTCAACCTCTGTAGAAATCTTTACAATTTAATAAGTACAGCTATTCTTATTGATGTAGAAATAAAAGAACGTATCCTATAGAGAATCAAGCCTCAAACTAATTGAATTGGACTACATTTTAACTCGAATACTTAAGCTTTATGACATCTTAAAGGCATCATTTTCTAATTTGTGATAACGTTGCAGATAACGTTAACAAGTAAAGTGGTGCATTAGTGTCATCTCGTTATACAAGAATCTTATCAATTTCTGTTATTAATTCCACCTTATAGACATGAGTTTAATTAACGTCATTTTCTTAAGTTTTCAGACGAACATGATGTTAGTTGAGGTAAAAATTTAAGCATTTTTAACTATGTATGGACCTTTTAACTGCTTATATCTTACGACACCTTCATATTTCGTGCATATCAAGCCGATTCACTTGGTCTACAATGTTTTTTGCTCCGTAACCATGACAACTAGTTCGATGAGAATCCGTCTTTCAGTAATTTAATCTGGCCTAAGTAGCGCATATTCTGGCTTCTTGTTGACCAGACGAATTAAGAATGGTAGACTTTTTTAGCTGGTCGAAATATTTGCTATCCTTCGCTTTTATCGCTATTCATTTGGACATCAATTCGGGCAACGCTACGAGATCTTTTAACGAAAGTAAACAGACAGGGTGCTTTTATTTTTCGTTTATAAGTAGGCTTTCGAGACTGCCAGATTGCCCTTATCATCTCAAATAAAATGGGTTCAATGTAATTCATATATAGTGACTTTACAGTTGGCTTATAAAAAGTTGGTTTTCGACGCAGCTCTTGATTTATAGTTGTTGGGCTCATTTCCATTTCGAGTGAAAGTGTGTGCAAAGAGTTTCGAAGGCCGCTTCCACCAGAATACGATGGTGGATTCCTTTTGGCCGACTGTCGGTTGTCGGTAAAGTCTCTTTACTTTCGCTCAAAATGGACATTAGCTCTTTCGTTTTGCTAACATGGTTTAACTCGGTTTTTACCAGACTCCTTCGTCAAAATACATCTGATTCTAGGTCTTTTGCCTTTGAATTCACTCCTGCGTTGGTCGGTTAGGGACACTTCTCTTTATTTACACCTTTACCTACGCCTGGCGAAGTATATCCGGCCATGAAATGTGAAAAAACCCAATTAGTGGCTTGACGAAATGAATTATTCGCATTGTCATCCTAGGCATTTATTGGTTCTATTTTATGTTCCTACGTTGAGCTAATTTACAACTATATTTCTCTGACAACATGACTAAGTTGAGGAGACGAGGTCAAAACCCGTCTATACCACCATAGTAAAGGCCACAATACCTTCGTACGTTCGATTGAATTAATTAGCTTCGTTGTCATGTGGTTGTGACTGTATTTGTGCAAAGTCCTT